TTTGCAATTGTCTTGACAATATACATTTGCTTTTCTAAAGGGACATATTCATACGACAGCAAATCAAATTGTTTTTCACTTAGCATCAGAGTACACATTTCTTGCATAACTCACCGAAAATTTTCAATATTAAAACTCTCTCTGTTTCTAATAATTTAAAACGGATTAATTGAAGGAAAACTCACTACTCTTTCTTGATTAATTAAATCACTCATTAATTGTATGTAGGAATATACAAATAACTTCACTGTGTTTCATTCTTCTAGAATGTGTCTCTTGACATAAATATATCTTGAGAATTGATTGTCTAATTAATTGAACAACAACAGTTAACGATAAAGCTAAAGAAGATAATCAGGATAATCAGCGTGAGAAGACAAGACAGGAACTTTACGAAGGCGAGCACCATACTGCCAGGAATAGATGGACCAACAGATCAGAGTCGTACATCGACTAGATGACTTTGTATTAGTGTATTTGCTAACGCACGAACACGTGGATCTCATTTCAGATGGAGTTTAACTGCTCGATTAAGCATAAGGCATAACATCCAAGTGTACAGAGAGTGTACAAACGGGTATTATCCAGAGAAAATTGCTATTGATTTTATATCAAAGTCTGACTTTGAACCTCCAGAATAAGCGATTGTTCTTGAATTAATAAAAATTTATTGAAACATTTTATTGCGTATGATATCATGCAGAATAAAATATATGAAAGAGTATATTCACTATTATATTAATGAATTTCTTGTGACGAAACTATTTGTGATTACAGAATATTAAAATAAAATATTATTCTGCAAATTGACTATAATTTATATAAATTAAATTAATATTTTTGTATTTAATCGATTACAGTATAAATAAACATAATGTATTAATAAAATAATTTAACATATTTCATATCAGACTTACACATTTTTCTTCTTTTATGTCCATTTTAGGAAAAAATGATTTGTTGACTTCGGTCAAACGCATTATTTTAAAATCGAGAGATTTTAAGGATAAAATTGAACAAAGAAAATTATAACAGCGTTTGGCATGGCAACGCAAGGGAGCGTCTAACTTCGACTAGTTTCCCTGCCAGACTGAGACCTTTGGAAAAATCAATATTGTTACCGGTCGTTCAATTGTGGCAGGACGTGCAACACCAGAAAATATGAAGTTCCGATCCCACGAACAGGAGCATAAATGATGAATGCTTATTATAAATACAAAAATTTAACTATGTTATGCAATAATAATTAAGAGAATATGCTTAACGTAGAATCATGCATAATAACAAGTTTATAAACAACTAATAAGTTTATAGCTGTATAATGCGTATTTATGAAGTTAAAATAATGACAAAATAACAAGAACTATTGTTTATTAAGTGTTCTAAATCTAATAAATTTTAATGTTTAAATTGTTCTAATATGTTGTAATAAATAGTCTTTACATGTAAAGAATTATTTTGTTAAAATATCTAAATATTTAGCCTAACACAAATTTAAAAATAATTTTATTCAACTAAATGATTAAATGATTAATGATCTAATGAAATGATTTAATGATTCTAAATGATTAAACTAGTAAATGATTAAACTAGCTCAAACTAGTTGCCAGAATATCAAAACTTTTTACATCATTGTGCATTATTAAGTGTTCTATATTATTTATTTTAACAATTTTATAAATTTTTTTCTATAATTTTTTTCATATTTGTATTTAGCTAATTTTTTTTATTTTATAGCAAAATCGTCCTTTTCGTGTAAAAATTTTTTCCTTTGTTAGAAATATAGATTATCTCGATAAGATAGATTTTAAGAATTTAATTTTATTTTAAAAAAATTAATGCAATTACCATCCTAAGTTACTTTCCCATGACAACGAATCTGTTTCAAATTAAACGGTACGGCTAGTGTACAATGCGTTATATAAAAGATCTTCAGAATTATAAGCAAAGTCGTTTTGATCTTGAACAGACTACCAGTTATCTATTGACGTAAGTAAAGCGGTATGGAGCTACTCGAAATATTTTCAGGCAACACTTCACCGTTAACTTCACTTGCCGTTAACATATGAGAATTCATTCTCTTGCCGAAAGTAGTCATTAATATTTCGAAGTAGATGTTGAAATAATTTATCTAGATTTAGAATCTCAAAATGGAATGCTAATATTGTCTCTATTAGAAGATCTATTATGCTTTTGGTTTTGACAGTGCATTATTGAACTCTATGCTTAAATTTGAAATCTGAATTAGTTATTTAATTTCACCGTTTATAATATTTTTAATCCGGCTTTAAAAAAAATAACTATTTTATTTTTAAAATTTAATTTATGTCTATAAAAATTTTGTATGGACTAAAATTATAATTTACCTCATATTAATAATTAGTTTAAGATTTTATTACTTACGTTTAAACCCATTGATTCGGCCAAAAAATTTCGAGCATGTTCATTTTCATCTCTATCACTGTCAGTTTCTAGCAAAGCTTCAGTTACTTCATCGATATTTTCTTCTTCATTCAAAGTGCTATCCTCTTCTTCTTCTTCTTGTTCTTGCATTTTAATCTTCTTTTCTGGAAGTGAACCTTCTGCTTGTTCCTGAGCACGAGCTTTTTCTGCGAGCAGCGTGCCGAGATTTTCGAAAAAGCCGCCATCTGATTCTTGTATTCTAAAATGAGACATTATTTTAGATTAATAATGAATTAATAGTTTCTGAACTTTAATTACAAAATTTCATATCTTATAAATATTTTTATAAAATTTTTTATAATATCTCTAAATATATTAACTAAAAAATATCCTAGAGCAC